AAAAGGATGGTACAGTGTTCTGCATCGAGGACTTGTAGACCACACTTACAGCTTCCTTGATTTCAATGTTGGCTGGCCTGGAAAGTGCCACGATGCATACGTTTTTAAGTGTTCCCATCTGTGCCGCAAGCTAGAGGATGGTACCTTTTTCCCTCCAGTCAGCAGGAACATCCAAGGGGTCGACATACCTGTCCTGAGAGTGGCTGATTCTACCTACAGTTGTTCCAAACCTGTACGAATTTCTTTCTTCTGTCTAACATAGAAGATATTTTGAAGAATGTTAGGAACATCTTGAGGATGAGTAGATTATGACTGAATTTTCACTTTTAGGTGAACATTTCATTTTCATTTTTAGGTGAACTATCCATTTAGTACATAGTGCAGCAAATGCTTATTGTAAAGTGGTATTTTTTTATTTATTTGCTTTTTAACTTTTATTTTATTTATTTATTTTTTATTGAACTAGTTTAGTTCAATTCTGCACATTCTCCTAAAGCTTCTGCTTGTGTTTTTCTGACTGATCTCTGTGCAGATGCTTTGCTGGAATCACCCGCTGCCACCAAGACAGCCACAGCAAAATTTGGAGGCAAAAATGTGTAAAGGTGTCAGAGAAGAGGAACAACACAGTCAACCCTGATGTATGTACTCTTCTCAGAAAGTTCATGGACACAAATTAAGGAATTTCTGATGAAATCTGAGAGCTTTCTCACCCTCCAGAGATAACAAGGGTTAAATGGACAAAATAGTCCATGTGACATCAGTGGTTCTACCATAATTTTATGAAGCTATGAGAATACATTTTGTGTGCAAAAAACTAAACTAACAACTTTATTCAACAAATCTCTTCTCCTCCGCATCACCCTAGTGCCAGTTTGGAGAGCATCACGATGCAGATCAAAGCACGCGCATGCGTCGTGATACTCTACAAAATGGCGCTTGAGGGTGATTCGGAGGAGAATAATTATATCTTGCAATTCTGATTTATTTCTTCCTGAATTGTGAAATATAAACTCATAATTCCAAGAAATAAAGTCAGAATTACGAGTTTATATTTGGCACTAAAAAATGTTTTGATGGACACACTGCCTAAGAAAGGCATTTTTTGAGTTTCTTGAGTTTCTGAAAAGGATCAGGTGACAAGAGGGATCAGCACGAAGGCTATCTATGAGTAAGTCAGAGAAGCCACATAGTTTGATAGTAGGTAGACTACACTAGAGAATTGAAGTACTAATGTGTTGTTTTTATTTTAAAATTTCTGTTAATTACTACCTACATTTACAGACATGAGAAGGTGATATAGCCAAAAAGTGTAGCACTTTTATGGGAAAGGTTATCTTGTCTTCTAGTTTATGCTTATATTACCTACCATGATTACCTACCATAGTATGATGCACTGTTGTAGAAACTAACTAGCTAGTCACGACTGTTTCCCGAACATCGTCACATCTCCGTCATTTGAACCACGTTGGCTCAACAATATAGGACGGGCGTTAATGATGTCACACAAATGTAGTGGAGTAAAAACCTCTGCTAATTAATTGATTTGAGATCTGAGATGCAGCTGTAATGAACATGGCAGCTTATGACTTCACTGTTTTTGCTTTATTTTATGTTCAATTCATCGCGTTCCCTCTTTTATCATACTCCGGGGGATCCCTTATGCATTTATGCTCAAGCACACTCTTCAGAAACTCCACTGGTTGCTGCCACACTAAAATATATAGATTGAAACGTACATATATTTAATTGGAATGAAAGATACAGAATGCACTGCATGTTAGATTTTTGGTAGATGACCAAATCCCAGGAATGACCCATTTACAAATAAATCTAAAATGATCAATCCCCTGAGAGCAAATGCTGTGTCTAGTCTATACTTCTTTGCCTATGCTTTTACCAAGCAACAATTCTGGTAGTTCACAAGGAGGCAAGCAACTGTGTGATAAAGAGAAGATGGAGTGATTTCCAGGGACATTTTTACCTTTATATGGGCATTTGTTTTAGATTTATTAGATGTATGCATCATCTTTTTTGTAAAATTCTTACATTTAATAATCAATATTCAATTACAATAAGACAGTATAGGCTGGTACCAGTCAAATGAAATCAGTATCAACAAAATCCATCTTTGCACTGCAGAAGCATAAATAATGCTGTGAGGTTAATGTTTTCATAATAAAGTTTTGGATACTGAAACATTGCACTACATACAGTCTACTCGTTGTAGCTAGCCTAGCCCCAGGGCTGGATTGGTAATCGGGCATACCGGGCATTTTCCCGGTGGGCCGACGCACTTAGGGGGCCGACAGAAAAAGAGAAAAAGAGAGTTGTTGAATCGGTAAAGTGCTTGATAGGGACTCGCAGCGGAGGCAGGCATCAAACCTCTCCTAATGTGCGCACGTGCCATGAGTGTAGAATACATAAACACTTTTTAATAAAACGTAAATTTGTCCCCTGCGATTTGTTTGGCCAAGTCAAGTGTGTTCATAGAGGTTTCCATGCATGGGCCAATGCGAATAAAGCTAGATTTAAATGAAAAAAAAAAAGACACAATATTGACGTCGGACCTGACGTTTCATTCTTATCTAAAACAAGATGCCAAGTCAAGTGTGTTCATAGAGGTTTCCATGGGCCAATGCGAATAAAGCTATATTTAAATAAAAAAAGACACGATATTGTCAGACCTGACGTATTATTCTTATCCAAAACAAGATGTGATATGAGTGTGATACGTAGGCTACATACATACACTACCAGTCAAAATTTTTTTGAACAGTAAGAAAGATCCAATAGAAAGATCCAAAGATCAGCATTAATCTGAAATAAAAAGCTTTCGTAACATTATACATATACCATTCAAAAGCTTGGAGTCAGTATAATTATTTATTTATTTATTTATTTTTTTTGAAAATGATAGAAATTAATACTTTTATATAGCAAGGATGCTTTAAATTGATCAAAAGTGACGATAAAGACATTTATAATGTTACAAAAAAATTTTTTTCTTCTGAACTTTCTATTCATCAAAGAAACCTGAAAAAAATTCTACTCAGCTTTTTCAAAATAATAAATTTTTTTTTTGAGCAGCATAGTATATATATATATATATATATATATATAAAAAGTGGTGGTGGCCCGCCTGGACCAAAAAATGCCAGGGCCAATTTTTTGTCCCAGTCCAGCCCTGCCTAGCCCTGTCACATGAACCAGGTTTGTAAGACCGTTCATCATCATCATCGGATGCTGCAAATCATCCCAAACAAAATCTCTGACAGACAGACAACTCGTTCCCGCTCCACTTCCTCTCTGAGATCTTCAGTCTGGTCCAAATCAAAGTCAACAGCCGTCGGATAACAATAATACTCCTGATGATCTTCAGTCGCTGGGGTGGAAACTTCTCTCCTCTGCCATAGCTCCTTGGTGGTGCAATAGTTATTCCACTGGAATAAAGTGGACACTGTGTCTTTCTTTAATAGTCGCCGTCCAGTGGGAGTCGATCAAATCTAATTAAATCTACTATCCATCTGTTATTAATAGACTATTATCGATTACAGGGTAATCACATTATAACTATTCGTGTTAAATACAGTTAAATACAAAAATGTAAAAATCAATAAACTATACAATTACACTTTCAACAATTACATATGCAGAAAGCACATACTTTGTGCTCAAAATGAGCCTAAGATGCAAAATAGTAAACCTAATTAGGGATGGTAAAGATCCATTTCCATAAGCACAAACATAAACTAACATTTGTAAAGTTTAAAAGGTTTGTGAAAATTTGATTAGAAAACATTTAACATATTAGTTAAATACAGTTTAATTTATTATATGCTATATTACACTGAACAAAATTATAAATGCAACACTTTTGTTTTTGCCCCCATTTTTCATGAGCTGAACTCAAAGATCTAAGACTTTTTCTATGTACACAAAAGGCCTATTTCTCTCAAATATTGTTCACAAATCTGTGTTAGTGAGCACTTCTCCTTTGCCGAGATAATCCATCCACCTCACAGGTGTGGCATATCAAGATGCTGATTAGACAGCATGATTATTGCACAGGTGTGCCTTAGGCTGGCCACAATAAAAGGCCACTCTAAAATGTGCAGTTTTACTGTATTGGGGGGTCCGGGGGGGTCCGAAAACCAGTCAGTATCTGGTGTGACCACCATTTGCCTCACGCAGTGCAACACATCTCCTTCGCATAGAGTTGATCAGGTTGTTGATTGTGGCCTGTGGAATGTTGGTCCACTCCTCTTCAATGGCTGTGCGAAGTTGCTGGATATTGGCAGGAACTGGAACACGCTGTCGTATTCGCCGATCCAGAGTAGGCATGGGACGATAACCGGTTTCAAGGTATGCCGTTCAAAACCACAAACATTTTCCGTTATACCGTTGCTGCGGTATGCACAGTTTTTTTTACGTGTCGTCACTCGTCAAAGACGGAAAGTGCAGGACTCCCTCGGTTGTGTGCAGCGAAGAGCGTAGCGAGTCATAACGACCCCTCCCCCTCCGGTTGTTGCGAGCGGAGGCACCTGTGTGTGGGATGGCCGAAGGAGATGAATCCCTGGAAGAGAAGTGCTCACTAACACAGATTTAGACAGATTTGTGAACAATATTTGAGAGAAATAGGCCTTTTGTGTACATAGAAAAAGTCTTAGATCTTTGAGTTCAGCTCATGACAAATGGGGGCAAAAACAAAAGTGTTGCGTTTATAATTTTGTTCAGTGTAAGTAATGATGTCATGATTCTCTTAGAACAGTATTTTTATCTGGTTTACTATTTTTCATTGTGTGGTTTCTGGCGAATTATATTAAAATCAGTTGTAAATAACTTGTATTTGTATTGTCCCCCATCTTCTAATTTATGCATAATAATAAGAATTAGATTTCAATGATGTTTTGACCAATGAACTAGGACATGTTCCCGTTTGACCTTTTCAGAAATATGGTCACATTATCCTATTGTCGAATGTCTTTTATTATTGTACCTGTACTGTGAACGAGCTCAGTTCAGCGGCTCCCATTCTAACCTGAAGCTTTCCTTTCAGATCCAGAGTTCTCATCCAGACGCGCTTCATCATCAGTGTGCGGTGCGGTAACGTTACGTCCTGCGCGCGGCGCGGCGGGGCGGGGCCAGAGCGCGGTGACGTCAGAAAGGTCGTGGGTGAGAGGTGATCGGGACACATCTTGTTGTCTTTGTAAGAGTGGAGCTCGATCACGCAGCCGTGTCTTCCCTCTTCCCCGAATCCTCTCAAAACTCCCTCCCGAACCTCCCGGACCTCCCCCTCTCACCCTCCGGACCCTCGGACCCTCTCCCCTCCCGCAGCGCGCGTCAGGTGAGGCTATACCGCGGCTCATGCGCTCACGAGCGCGAGGGGCCTGCAGGCCGCGGGCTAGCGCTAGCGCTCGGGCTAATCAGCCTCCGCGCTTCTCCTGCGATATTAGTGGATATTTCAGCGTTAAGCACGGCAGTGCGTCGTTTAAACCGTCAAACAAACGCCGTGAACACAGCCCAAACCGGGTTGTTTCGTTTAAAGCGCAGTCCG